GGTACCTGTGTGTCCAGGCTGTGCCACTGATCCCTAAGTGCTCCTTGCCATGTGCTCAGCTGCCCTGGCTGCAGCCCAGGGATGGGAGGCTGCTGGGGTGGCAAACATCCTTGCAGACCAGAGCAAACACGTCCCATCATGTGCAAAGTCCCAGAGAGGGCCTAACAGAGGAACCAGTCCCTCCCTGTCCCACCTCCCCAGGTGCCATCAGGCTCAGGGCATCTGATGAAGACCAATTCCCACCCCCTGCCCCTGTGCCCCTCACCTGCATCCCAATCACAGCATAGATGAAGAAGAGCATCACAATCAGCAGGGCCACGTATGGCAGAGCCTATGACAAAAGGACCATGTGTGAGACACAGCCCAGGGACGGGGTGTCGGCTCTGGAGGTGCTGCAGGAGGCGGATCTGGTCCCTGTGTGAGGAGGGGACAGCTCCCCTGCTCCTTCCACCCCGCTTCTGCTGGGCCCTTCTCTGTGGATCTCACACGCGTGAGGCTCAGCCCCACGGCAGCACAGCTCTGTGGCTGGCACAGAGGCTCAGCACAGCCCGGGGCTGAGGCACTGCCCGGAGCTGAGGCACTGCCTGAGGCACTGCCCAGGGCTGAGGCACTGCCCAGGGCTGAGACACTGCCTGAGACACTGCCCGGTCCTGAGGCACTGCCTGGGGCTGAGGCACTGCCTGAGACACTGCCCGGGCCTGAGGCACTGACCGAGGCTGAGGCACTGACCAGGGCTGAGGCAATGCCCAGGGCTGAGGCACTGCCCAGGGCTGAGGCACTGCCCAGAGGCTGAGGCACTGACCAGGGCAGGGCTGTGAGCTGATGCTGCAGCATGTCCTGAGGCATCCCCCGGTACAGATCCCAGCCAGCCAGGACCAGGACAAACAGCCCAGACAGACACTGGCAGCACCCAGCCCAGCTCTGACACCCAGTGCTGTCAGCCAGGGGGGCCCACACACCTTCCCACCCAACAATGGGGCAATGCTCAACACACCACAGCCCCCGGCCCAGGCTGACATCAGCAGCCTGGCAGCACTGGAGCTTTCTCCTCTGCCTGGTGAGGACATGCTGCTCGTGCTGCCAGCCTGAGGATCAGCCACTGCTGCCAGCCCTGGGCATGTCTGTGTTTGGGAGGGGAGCACTGCTCCTGACAGACCTGAAAGGACTTGATGAAGGTCCACAGGAGGGTCCTGACACCTTCACCCCGGCTCAGCAGCTTCACCAGTCGCATCACCCGGAACAGCCGGAAGAAAGTGATGGAGACGCGGGAGTTGTCATCAGAGTCCTGCAGGCAGAGCACAACAGCTGCAGGACAGAGAGTGCTGAAGCCTCCAGGCTTTCAGGGCAGGGGGACCCAGGTCCTGGGATGAGGAAGGGTGACAAAATCCCACCCCCAGGCTCCAGTCATGTCTGCACACAGGATCAGGCTGCAAAGATGTGCTGACGCTTTTCACCCTGGCACTCCTCCCCCAGCCTTCCCAGGAATCTCATCTCCCCAGGACCCCGTGCTCACACTTTTGACACTGGGATAATGCAGGAAGGAAGGCATGCTGCCACATGGACTGGGAGAGCTGTGAGGGTCATGGGGACACCACAGACAGGCTCAGTCCCACCAGGGTCTTGCCCTGCATGTCCTGTGTTTGTAGGGTGAGGTGTAGGGTGGGCACCAGGCACGGGAAGGGTTAATGCCAGCTGTTTAAGCAGAGAAGAGCTGTTTGGAGAATGTTACAGAAGGACTTTAACCAAAGGAGGGACTGAAGAGAGGTCCGGAGACGCAGTGTCACGGTCATGCAGTGATGCCTACTCTCTGTGGGTGTCCCCCTTGAAGGGGGGTTTTAGGATCTGTCACTGAGTTCAGGGCAGAGTGGGCAGGCAGAAGGTGAGGCAAGAGGCACGGCTCCTGGCCTGAAAGGACTGGGCTTTGTCTGGGAGCACCTAACAGTGGTGGTTGGAGATGCTGGGGGCTTGGTCAGCTGTGCCCTTGGCACAGCCTCAGCTGCAGTCTCTGCCACCAGGAGCCAGGATCAGACCCTCCTGGCACTGCCTCCATGAGCTCCATCACTGCTTGGGATGCTTTTCCCACTGCCCCCTTATCCTACCAGAGCTTTACTGCTGCCACTGGATCCCTCCCACTCCCATCCCCCAGGCCACTCACTCCCAGCTGGTTCAAGGCAACAAAATCCAGCTGTCAATACCCTCCCAGCAGCTCTGCTTTCCTCAGGGCTGCTCTTCTGAGTTCCCAGGGCTGCACTGAAAAACTCCATCTCCCCCTCCCACCTCTTTCTTTTGCCTTTCACTCTCCTGGTGCCTCGTGCCCATGCAGTGAGGGCAGTGGTCAGGAACATCCCAGTAGCCCCAGTGCCCCCCATCCCTGCAGTGTCCTGTGGAGAGCAGCTTGCACTCTGCACTTCCCTGGAAGCCTGGAAGAGGCTCTAGCACATGGTACCCTGCACTCAGCTCCCTCCACATTTTCAGAGCAACCCAGGACACCCCATTGCCACTGCACCCCCCTGGCGCAGGGCTTGGCCCCCTCAGCCCCCCAGGACATTGGGCTGCACCCAGAGGACACAGCCAGCTCTGGGGGGAGGAACAGGGCAGGGATCGCCCCTCTCTCCATCCTCTGGCTGTCAGAGGCTGCATCCCTTTAGGCCTTATGCAGCCAGGGTGATGGGCAGGAGGAGCTTTCCAGCTTTCCTGCCCTACAGCTGGAAAGGTGCTCCGATACTGGAAAGGTGCTCCGATACAGCAGCTCCAGGGGATGGGATGGTGAAGGGCAGGGCTGGGCTTTCAGATGGGCCCAGGGTGGGAAGGGGTGAGTGTGTGTGCTGCATCACCCCAAATCCCTGCCAGCGAGGGCAGAGTTTCACCCCAGAGGGAGCAGCGGGGTCGGGAGAGGCTCGGTGCCATGCAGGGCAGGTGCAGGTGCTGGCCACAGGCTCGGGGGAGCGGCATGCACGGGGGGCACACACAGATGGTATTTACAGCGCCGTCACAGCCTCCACCCAGGCAGTACAATCCACCACTGGGGGCAAGAATGGTCTGTCGAGAGAACAAGAGAGTTAGAGAAGGGAGGCAGGGAGGACAG